CATGTTGATATTCATTAAGGGTAATATAGATATATTACACATCCTTACTCACCAAAACTATTCTACCAGTGGACCCCACGTAACCAATAAACCCATCGAATTTATACCTGTGGGCCCCTCTTCTTAATTAACCAGCACACATCTACAATTATCTCTCTCCCAGCCCGTTCATCTTCTTCCTCACAGTCGTCGGCGAGCTGCAGAGCCGCCACCTCCGAGAGCACCACCACTCGCCGCCGCTTTCGACGGAGCTGCCACCGCCATCCTGCAGCGTTCTCCACTACGACGGTGACGAACACACTCCATCTCTGCCGCACAACGCCGCCCACCGCCGCCATCGTCACCGCATCACAAACTCCAGTCGAATCTCCATTCAACGCCGCACTCCGCCTGCTATCTCCAGTCGACGGCGTTTTCTGAAACAAAAATGAAAGTCTCGCGGCCGGAAAATTTGAAATGCGCAGCCGGAAGTCTGCCCCCGCTAAACACCTCACGCATCGTCGTAAAGCCCGAGAACGCCGGTGTTGCCTCCGGTATCCGCCACCCGAGAACGCCCGTCGCCGCTGCCTTGTTCGTCCGCCGTTGCTGCTCGAAAATAGGCTCCCGAAAGAGGAAATAGACAGAATCAAATCCCAAAATTGTAGCCGATCCTTCATTCGATTTAATGTGTATGAAATTGACCGAAAATTGATGGTTTGATTTTGATTTATGTGGAGGAATTGAACAAACATTGATGCTTTGATTTTGTCCCAAAAAACGTGACTGTAATTTTTCGGTTGGGCTTTGTTTTCATAGATACTTTTCAGGTGTCTATTTGCAAATTTTGGAAGTTTGGTAATTTACAATTCAGGTTTTGGGTTTAATACATAATTTGTAAAAACAATATTAAATGTAAAAATTAAAGAAGTCTGTGTTGGGAACACTAAATAATATATTTATATAAAATAGTATATAAAATCAAATATACTATTTTATATATTTTTTAAATACATAAAAATAATAAAAATATTAATATTGAAGAGAAATGAGATAAGATATTAAAATGTTATTGAACATATTATATAAAGTATTGCACTTGATATATCATCACGTTGCACATTATGTAACAGGACGTTGCACTTCATAAAATAACACGTTGCATATTATCGCCACACTACACAATTAATGTCAACACTTCCCATAAAAAATATTACGCAATATAATTTTAGAAAAAACGAATCTACACAATACTTTAATATCCATTACATCAACTATACACAAAAAAAAAAAAAAGAAGAAGAACACAAACATGCTAACACGTACCAAAATTTCAGTTTTGCATTTTATATATTATTAGTTGCACTTTATATTATAATAAATTGCACTTTATAACACAACATGTTGCACCGCATAAAAGGACACGATGCACGTAGTAAAATTTCAATAATTTTGCTAATCGAATAATATTAGTTGCTAACGTACCAAAATTTTAGTTTTACATTTTATATATTAATACACTGCACTTTATATAACAACGCGTTGCACTTTATAAAACAACACGTTGCACTTTACAGAAACTGTAATAGTTCACTATATATTTCAACACACTGCAATTTCGATACACCTCACTTTATAAAAAAACACGATGCACTTTATAAAACAACACGTTGCACTTTACAAAAACTACAGTAGTTCACTATATATTTCAACACACTGCACTTTATAAAACAACACATTGCACGTTATACAATGACAAACTGCACTTTATCACAACTATCAAGTTGCACAATAGAGTCGAAATCAACCGAACCTAAATTGTTTCAACCAAATATAATATAGAAATAATAAATAAAATTATTAACATATTAAATATAATTTTAATATAAATAAAGAATTATTTCAATTATTTCAGGATGATTCGCGTAACCGAACCGAATAAATCAATAAATTATGTTCATTTTCAATTTGATATGGGACAACAAATTCAGTTATACAAATTGATAAATCAGTTTGATACAGACCGACATTGTGCACTATAGTGTTAGACGAATTGCACTTTAATATATGTTAGATTGCATAATATATTGTATTTACATACATACTAATTTTTTTAATCAAGAAATAATATAAAAATAGCAAATAAATAAATATTAATGCTAATCATATTTTTTACAATAAATAAAATTATTATTATTATCATTACTATTATTATTATTATTATTATTATTATTATTATTATTATTATTATTATTATTATTATTATTATTATTATTATTATTATTATTATTTATTTTTTTATTTTTTTTTCAGCCATAGAGATATAAACTATAAACTATAAATGAAAATATTAAAATATTACTTATAGTTTAATTAATTACAAATTGGACCCATGGCCTAAATTGTAATATATTAAAATTGTTGATATTGCAAAAGGGTCCATCAATCTTATCAAATTTTCCAAAAATAAGCCTTTGAGTTGAACACCTCCATCCCCAGCAGCCCTTCTCGCGCGCCGTCGGTGATACCTCGCCGTCACCGGTCGTACTCATCCCCGTCGCCGGTGATGGACATCGGCTCTCGGAGCTTCGACGCGATTCGCTTTCTCCGAGGAAGTTGCGGGCCTGGTAGTTGCAGGGCACGTCGGTCCGGCGGCAAGCCGCCGTGACGGGTCTGGTCGACGTCGAAGTCGAGTGAGACGGCGGCTCTGCCACGGATGTCGGTCTACTCCACCACTGTACAACCCGGGGAGGTCGCGGTCGTATAAAGCAACTTCCATGGCGAGCTGGTCGCTAGTTGACGGCGGAGGGTGGAGGCAGACTGCGGACGGAGCTGGTTGCAGGCGGAGACTGGCTGCTGTCGGAGTTCGATTGCGGGCGGAGACTCGCTGCGGTTGGAGGCCGGCTGTGGTCGGAGTCTGGTGGCGTAGGACAGCGACGACAGGTAGATGTGATGGCGGCGGCGGGTGGATTCCGGCGGTGGTAGGTGATGGTGGTGACTGTGTGTGTATGTGTGTGTGGAGTTGTGTGTGTGCGTAGAAAAGAAGCAGCTTTTATGTGTGTGTAATTGTGTGTGTGAGAGAAGTGAAGGGAAGAGCTAGTGGTGGGACCCACTTTATTATGGTAAAAATTGAAATTACACTAGTGCCCTTTGGGTTGTTCAATTGACTATGAAATAAATATATATTTACAACTATGCCATAGTGTTTTGACCAGATTTATTAATGCTTGACTTCATCTTATTCATTGATATGATTGATCTAATGGTGTATATTCATTCTTATTTCTTTCACTAGGAATTATTCTCATATGATCCCTTCTATATATATATATATATATAGATTATCATAACAATTATCTTGACAATAATAATAATGAATACTGATACTAATAACAACTCTTTAGTAATAAATATAAAAATAAGTTGTATATATGTGTGGGCAACCGGCAACCTCGGCTTGACTCAAAATGTACGGACAATGGATGAACCTATATTAACAATAACCAATTCTTGTTTGTCCCTTTGTACCTTATAACAACAGAACGTCCACCCCCAATACTTTATATAGTGACTTCATCTTCCCTTCCTCTCCTTTTCTCTCTCTAACTTCTCTAACACCAATTATCACTTGTCTTATATTTCTTAAGAGATCTAACCAATTTCCTTATTCTTGATCTTTTTTTTTTTTTTTTTTTTTTTTTT